TGCATTTTCTTGCGAGATAAATAAAATGTAAGCAAAAAAGTTTTTTATGAAGGGCTCCTGCATTATTGATTGACTCGATGAGCTTAGTCCCACTGCTTATTTTCCTGTTGTAGTTTCCAGAGCTCGGCTAGTAGTAATCCTGCCGAGTAGACTCTTGTGTCCTTCTGACTTGTTTCCAGGATTCTTTGAGTACTTCTTCTTTGGCGAGATGACCTGGGTCACGATGGACTTCTCATGCAGCTCTCAAAGCAGCCGCTTGGCTAAGGAGCCCTGGCTCTGGTCGGTAGAGAATGCTGTTTGGAGCTGATCACCGGGAGCGCCCTGGGCCGATCGCTGCAGCTCACTGCTTCTAGTTTGTTCCGTGCACACACCTGGGCAGTAGATCTCTGGGGATACTTATGTATCCACATCCACATCTATATTATTGACTTCATAGTGAATCTGAGATTATATTTCAGTACTATCGGGCACATTTTAGTCTTCCGTTTTGTCTTAGTTACTTTCTATTGCGGTGATAAAAACACAGTCCAAAACCAACTTGGGGAGGAAAGGATTTATTTAATCTTGCATCTCCCAAGCCATAGTGCATCACTGAAGGAAGTTAGGGCAGGAACCTGGAGTTAGGAGCTAAAGCACAGACCATGGGGGAACTCTACTTATCCCCCAGCCTGTGCTCAGCCTGCTTTCTTATATAATCCAGAGGTGGCATGTCTCACAGTGGGCTGGACCCTCTCATATGATTCAGCAATCAAGAAAATGCACCTTTGGGGCTGAAGAGTGGTTAAGAGCACTTGCTGCTCTTGCAGAGGCCCTGGGTTTGGTGCCCAGCACTCACATGGTGGCTAACAACTCCAGTTCCAGGGGATCTGATGCCCTCTTCTGACACCTGTGGGCATTGTATGACACAGGTGCACTACATGCATTCAAGCAATACACTCATACATACAAAAATAATAAATAAAATATTTTTTTAAAAGAATATGCACAGCCAGGCATGGTGGCGCTCGCCTTTAATCCCTGTACTCGGGAGGCAGAGGCAGGTGGCTCTCTGGGAGTTCCAGGCCAGCCTCATCTCCATAGCAAATCCAGGCCAGCTGTGGGCTACAGGGAGACCCTGTCTCAAAAAGACCAAAAAAAAAAAAAAAAAAGAAAAAAGAAAATGCACAACAAACATGGCCACAGGGCCATCCAAGGAAGTCCAGTCTTCAGCTGAGGCTGCCTCTACTCGTGTGATCAGCACACCTTTACAAGTATGTAACTTCCCTTCCCAACACTAAGAAATATATTGTTATCCTCAGATTGCTTTTCATTGATGAGCTGAGAATGCAGAGGTTGCTTCCAAATGACCAACGCATACCACCGTAAAAATATAAAGACTACTTACTAGAGTTCAATATTTATAGTTATTTTTGAATAAAATTTATTTACATTGTAAGCCACAAATCTAATGAGAACGGCTCATTAACTTTAGCAAATGCTCATATCTTTGTTATCCACAGTCTGATAAAGACAGAATTTTTCTTTCTTTTTTTTGGTCTTTTTGAGACAGGGTAGCCCCAGCTGTCCTGGAACTCACTATGTAGACCAGGCTGGCCTCGAACTCACAGAGATCTACCAGCCTGTGCCTCCCGAGTGCAGGGATTAAAGGCATGCCCCACCACACCCTGAAAAGACAGATTTTTTTCAATCATCAAAGAATGTTCCTTCTTTCAGGATTCTCAGAAATGTAGAAAGTTCACTGGTATTAGTGGGGTTTGGGGGAGGTGTTTGGGTTTGGGGTTTGTTGATTTATTTATTTTTTTTCTTTCTTAAATTTTTTTTTTTTTTGGTCTTTTTGAAGCAGAGTCTCCCTGTGGCCCCAGCTGTCCTGGAACTCACTATGTAGACCAGGCTGGCCTTGAACTCACAGAGATCTGCCTGCCTCTACTCCCAAGTGCTGGGACTACAGGCATGTGCCGCCACTCCCGGCTGGTTTGCTTTTTAAGTTTCAGAGAAATTTTAATAAATATTTTTACTGAATTTTTGTGCATTTCATGCAACACATCTTAATCATATTTAGACCCCTCTCCCCTATCTGCACCCCCCCATAACCCACCCTCCAGAGTTTATGCATTCTGTCATATATGTATATATATATAATTGTGTGTGTGTGTGTTTGTGTGTCGTATATATGCCTATCTAGTCAAGTTTGTGTACCCAAGTGTCCCTCAATATGAGTTCATCCACTGGAGCCTGGTCAGCCTATCCAGTGTCACTCCCTTAAAGAAGACCAACTGTCCCTCACCCAGCAGTGATGGGCTACCAATAGTTCCTCAGCTAAGGCTGGGACCTGTTGCCCATTTCCCCAGTTCTGTGCTGTATTTTCAGCTGACTGAAGTTTTAGAGAAATTTTATTGATTCAAGAATTTCATATAGTGAATTTTGATTCTATTTAGACTCCACCCCCACCCTACCACCGTCCACCTATCCCACCCCCAACTTTGTGTCTTCTATTTATAAATGAAAACCCTACCAATCTTACATGACACATCTGAGTTGGGTACCAGAGAAATCATATCTCACTAGATGTCAGTGATCTATGATTCTTACACACAGGTGTGCCAAAGTAAGGGCCCACTCCGTTTCCTTTGTATATGGTTTTGGTCAGAATAAACCCAAGTTTCTTGGAAACTTCACTCTTAATTTCTGTTTCTCTTACATATTGCTTCGGAATGTCAAGTAGGGATTTCTCTATCTCTCAGCAGTGGGAAACACTTGAATTTCTTCATTAAAGTTGGTTGGTCGCAGCCCTTGCGTGCTGGTTACACTTTGGCTGTTTCCAGTCCTCACTCAGCACAGTGACCTCACTGTGGATCAAGGTGCTCTCCAACAAGCTGGTTCCTCTCAGAGTTTTACTGTGGGTAAAAGAAGAAACTAGGTCTTCACAGCACACAGCATTTAGCTTGCAGGCCTCCAGTTGGGAGGTTTCCTTGTGGCCTTGCTGGCTCTGCCCCTGCATGTTAGTGGCCAGACTGTCTTGGTTCTACCTGGACTGTGGGAGTAGACAGACTGCTCTGCAGGCTGCATGATAGACTCCACCATTTTGGCTCCCCAGTTATTTTCTGTCTTACTGCCAAGTTCTGAGTTTAGAACTTCGAGATCAATCCAGAAGCATCAAGAGTCTTAATAAAATGAAGAGGTCCAGAGTCACGTTTCTAGATCCTTGTGCTGAAAGTTTCCATCGCCATCACTGCTCTAGCTGCATCGCCAAGTTAGCTTTTCCGTTTTTCGTTTTCGTTTTTTGTTTTATTTTTTGTCGTTTTGAGACAGGGTCTCCTGTAGCCCCAGCTGGTCTGGAGCTTACAATATAGACCAGGTTAGCCTTGAACTCATAGAGATCCACCTGCCTCTGCCTCCCGAGTGCTGAGATTAAATGTGTGCACCACCACAACCAGCACCAACTTTTCAATCACTTTCTTTCTTATTTGTAATGTCTGGGTTCAGAATTTTGAGATCAATATAGAAGGGCCTATGGTCAGGTAAATATTCATCTTGTGTGATAAGCTTCCTCACATGGTCTATCTGACCCCTTTAGTCTCTTGGGAGCTGATTTTAGTGAATACAAGGATATACCTAATAAAAACTATATAACAGTGCTGCTGTATTTTCAACAGTGGGCTTTTCAATTACAAATAAATTATGTTGAGGCTTGAATCCAGGGCCTTGCACATGTCAAGAATGTGATCTGCCGCTGAGCTGTATCTCCCCAGCCCTCAAAATGGGGCTTTAGACCATGCCAACCCTGGAAGGCTGCTCAGCATTGCCTTTGCAAGGAAATGAACAAGGATCCTGTCCTTGTGTAACATAAACAAGGAAGAATGTGCCTAGGACAGGAGGGGGAGTTGGAAGACACTCCTCTCCTGTGACAGAACACATCTGCTCCCGGCTCCAGCATAGTTAGAAGCAGGACTTTGGGTTTGGATGTGTTTATCTCCTTGTAGCTTAGTGGCTTTGGGTAGAGAGTCATACCTCATAATCGCTTTGGCTAATCTGACACATTTTTAATTGTGGCATCAGATAGATATCTAAATATCCAAACAAGATATCAGATGCAGTCTGTCTCTGGATTTTCGCATATTTGTTACCCTCAAAATTCTTTTTTTAAAAATTTTATTTATTATTTTTATTTTATGTGTATGTGTGTATTGCCTGCATGCAGATAAGTGCACCTGTGTCGTGCAATGCCCGTGGAGGACAGAAGAGGCTGTCAGATCCCCTAGTGGAGTTACGGGACAGTTGTTAGCTGCCACGTGGGTGCTGGGATTTGAACCCGGGGCTTCTGTAAGAACAACCAGTGTTCTTAACCACTGAGCCATCTCTCCAGCCCCTGTCCTTTTACCTTTTCATGGGTCTCATGAATAAAAAAGTTGTCAGACTTGGAGGCAAGTACCTTTACCCACTGAGCCATCTCACCAACGCTAAAATTTTTGTAGGAATGATTTTTATAAAATGGACAGAATCTGGACCAATGACTTTTAATTAATATTGGTAAACTCACTGAACCATGTCCCCTTGTCACTTGGGCACCTGATCTTGCCTTGATTTGTTGTTCCATCCAAAGATAATGAATGAATGTGGATATGCTTGGTAGTTAATATATGCATGCAGGTAAGTGCACCTGTGTCGTGCAATGCCCGTGGAGGACAGAAGAGGCTGTCAGATCCCCTGGAACTGGAGTTACGGATAGTTGTTAGATGCCATGTGGGTGCTAGGATTCTAACCCAGGTCTTCTGCAAGAACAGCCAGTGTTCTTAACTGTTGAGTCATCTCTCCAGCCCACCCTCAAAATTCTAATACCCTCTGATAGTTATCTAATAGAAGATATTTGATAGTCCTCTAGAAGGAGTTCACAGAAACAAATGTTAAAGATTAGAATTATGCAGTTGATGTTTTCTATCAGTGTAGAAACATAGAGGCTGTGGGGAGAGGCAGCATGCACTGAGTTTGTGTTTGTTCCTAAGGAGTATAGCAGCCACGGACCATGAGCCGACTGATGCCAGGAAGTCCTTCCCTTGCTTTGACGAACCCAACAAAAAGGCAACTTACAATATATCCATCATTCACCCTGCAGAATACAAAGCACTTTCAAATATGCCAGTAGAGGTAAGTATTTGCAAGTTTTGTTTATCCAGATAGTCTGTTTATAAAGTCAGTTAAATTTCCTGATTTACCATAAAAGGGAACCCACCAAATTCTAAAACTAAATGTACTTTAATATCAAGAATCTTCTTTTCTTTTTTTAAATGTAATTATTTTTATTTTATGGGTATGAGTGTTTCACCCGCATGTATGTAAGTACACCCATGTCGTACAGTTCCCACAGAGGCCAGAAGAGGGAGTTGAATCCCCTGGAACTGGAGTTGCAAACAGTTGTCAGTTGCCATGTGGGTGCTGGGAATCAAACCTGGGTCTTCTGAAAGAATAGCAGCTCTTAACTGCTAGGCCATCCCCCTAGCCCCCTTTTTTTCTCTTCCTGGAAATATCAGCCTTCGATCACAGACTGCATTAATAAACTTACTTTGGAATTTTTTTTTTTAAGAAAGAGAAAAATTGATTAGGGCTCTACTTGATGAAATAACACACCAGTCATGGCAAATCAATGACGCACTTATTGTTTTCCAGACCCTACTCCTTATTTTGACTTCTTAGTTCAATTCAACCCCCTTTTGTGAAATAGATAAAGCTACTATTAAAAGTTACTTAAATACTGGGTTGCACATGCCAACTCCAGGGAATACCATGTCCATAGATTTTTCTGCTGAAAGAAAGTGCCTGTCAAATGTTGAATAAATAACATGCTACTTGTATATTCTGCTTGTATAGTTGTTAATTAACACAGGACTTGTTCCTGGGTTGCTTGTGCCCATCATCATAAGGGGTGACATAGTTAACTGAATGCCATTACCTTGATGCTAAGATTTGCCATATACACCATGTGTTTGACTGGAAACAACAACGACAACAACAAATAAAAATAAAACTCAGGCTCTCCGCGAGCTCTAATTGTTATCTACCTGAAGTTTTACCTCCTAGTTTTCTGATCCACTATCTGAAATGTCACTGAAATTCATCCCTTTTAGTAATAAAATATACCTTGAAAAAGCACAAACAAAACAAAGAACGAAAGCATAAAGTTAAAATACAAAATGTTAGCCAGCCATCCATGACCCAGAATGAATCTGTTTATCAGACTGTTATTCTCAGGGACCTTAGAAATTAAACTTGGATTGAGGAAGAAGAGGAAGGGATACAGTTTGACACATCAAATAAAACTTACAGTTGGGGTACAGGTGTCATCAGAATGCCTTGGAACAAATGAGGGGGAGGAGAGAGAAGGCAAGCTGGCCATCTCTGCCCCACTTCCCAGACATCACAAAATCGTGTACTCCCTTAACTCTGCTAGATTCAGAAAATGGCCAGGAGAAGGAAGATTTTCTGGGTCCTTTGGAAATCTAAACCAAAACTAGTAGACTTCTATTGTGAAGTAACTTATCTCTCTGGGTCTAGAACACTTTATACAATATGCACATATGCACAATAGCAAAAATATTCCCATCTAGGGACTGGGATGGTTACATGGGGATGCAGAAATGTTCAAGCTGTGGTCCAGGATGGAAGTGTCAGGACTGGTGATTGACAGGGAGGATGGCAGAGCTGGTGTAAACTAAAGAATTCCAGAGGGGTTGGTCGTTGTGTCGAATGACTTTAATGGCCATACCTTTAATCTTCAATGTAGACAAGAAGAGCTGGACAAGACAAACCAATGTTGATTATACACATGCAGTGGTTACCCTCCTACACATAGTGACATCAGCCAATGCCTGATTAATTCTTCCTACTACAAGACTTTCAACCTGTTCTTCATTAAGGGATCATGCTCTACCCTAAAATGTTATGGTCAGGATGACATGGTTTGTACACAAAGACAAACTCCTACCCAGTTGATGTCTTAATCAAACTTTGATTCTTCCTTCAAAATCACTTCCAGAGTACTGAAAATGAAGTGACTTTTCCTGCAAACTTTTCAACAAGTAATCACCTCCAAATGTTAATAAAGAACTTCTGACTGGAGTGAGGGTCTGGGCTAACCATTTTGATAAATGAAAATGATCTTTTGTTTCCACAGAAAGAAGAATCAGTGGATGACAAATGGAAACGAACCATTTTTATGAAGTCTGTCCCCATGAGTACCTACCTGGTGTGCTTTGCTGTACATCAATTCATCCCCATACAGAAATTATCGCAAAGGGGCAAACCGGTGAGTCCCATTATAATTCAAGAGCTTACCACCAATTCATTTGTGATTAACTTTCTACTTAAAAAAATAGTGACTTATTAGCTTAAAAAAATAGCAGCTTATTGGTTTTCTGTACACCAGGTTACAAAAGCCCATTAGTCACCAGGATTTGGAAGCTTAGAGAAACATTAAGCAACATAGAAAAATGTAAACCACAGGGACATGGGTGAAAAAGAAACAAATGTGACAGATAAAAACATGCATTGCCTTGAATTATTGACACATCGAATTTTAAGGGGAAATTCACTCTAAATCTGAAGCTAGCTCCTACCAGAACAAATATATTAAAATATTTGCATCTACCTGATTTAATTCTAAGGCTAGATGTATGTGTTGGGGGGAGGTCCAGGTAGAGATTAGAGGGAGGAAGATGGATGATATCCTGTAAGTAAAACAGCTGAGCACTTTATGGTGCTGTTTCTATATGTAACGTAAATAATGCAGCAACTCTATGAGACCCTGGCTCAGAAAGAAAAATTGTATTTCAAAGTGCATAAATTTTAAATTAACAAATTAATACTGAAACTGAGAAAGATAACAAAATGTCAGAAGTCTTTTTAAAAGTATGAGAATATGTAATTAAAAAATTTTTATTGAGCTTCTAAAATTTCATGACTTTTTCCCACCTAAATCAAGACCCCCTCCCCCATCCATGTCCCCCCACTCCCCCACTGAACTCTATGCACTGTGCCATACATGCTGAGTGGAGGAGAGGGGGGCGGGACATGCAGGGGATCTTGGTGTGGGGGGAGGGTGGAAAGTCAGGAGAGGAAAGATGGTGGGAGTCAGGAGGTGTTGGGGGTGAGTGGGGATAATGAGGGAGCTGTGACTATGGAGGGAGGGAGGAGGGAGGCCAGATGGGAGGAAAAAGGAATGGAGACGAGTGAATCCTGAGGGGCTAGGCAATCTAGAGGGAAATATATAATTTTTTAAAATAAAGACCTCAATAACTTCCTTCTAAAAAAATACTTTTACCTACTAATCTTTTTGTTTTGAGAGCCCCCATTTTGTTATTCTTTGAATACTTGCTTTGCCTAGAAAGTCAGTTAATCC